TCTGCTAATCTGTTTTAAATGAAAGTCTTTTTGTTTTTATTTGGTCCTTCTAGGCTTTGGTTAGATACTGCGACAGAACACCCTAATGATCTTTCCTTTTCAATTAAGCAGCTCGGTTTTCGTAACTTTCTCTAACCTTTCGCAAGCACAGTATTCCAGAATTAATTGCAAGTCCAATATGAGAGAGTGACTTTAATCAACAAGCATCCTCAAGGTACTTTCACATGTGAAAGTGAAGAAAACATGAAACGTAACAGCACCATCAGCCTCAAAGAAACAAAGAGCTGAACATACATCAAGGGAACAGGCTCAATCATTTGCAAGACAAATTATGCACCTTTATTACAAAGCAGAAACCAATCAAATCATTTTCTCATGCTATAGCTACTATATGATGTGTTCAAGTTAAAAGGAGTCCATCACGCCATGCATGTTTGTGGCTATTTGTCCCCCAAGGACCTCCTATTAAGTCTCAGAAGTGCCGTCTACAAAAGAAAGCCTCCTAACAAAGCACTCAGAGTCCCTACAGCGCCAGACTGGATGTCCACAGAGACCCTGCTCATATTCACATATATATCGAATTTAGAGACAAAAGGGGGTTGTTTTATTAAAAGTTAAAAGAGACAAGATATGGCATGTTACTTGTGGAGGAGCATTTTTTTTTAGCGCGTGACTTTGGGTCGGGTTTAAATCCTTTCAAGTCTCAGTTGTTGCCATCTCTGTAAAGCAGTTTGATTATTGATACAAGCTGTGCAAAGACGACGTTTTGAACACTAATTTTAGCACTTTTTACTTGCTCAGTAATTGATTTTTCTTCCAAGATCCCAAAAATATTCTGTACTGCAGTTAAAGACATTTTCAAGTTTACTTTATATGATCTGTCATAATTCAGCACTTACGCAAATAGTGCACGTACTCTGCATCTGCTGTGTACAAACATCTGATAAACATCTTTCAGACGTCAGTTTTACATACATTCTAAATCATAAACATTGGGATTTCTTTTTTATTATAGGAACATGGATACTCATTTTGGTTTGCTACTTTTAGACTTTTATGGTCTCATCTTGTACACGGTTTGCTAATATTATCTGTTATTAAAAAAGTATTAAAGAAAAAGTCTGGAAACTATCATACCTGTCCCGAATTTATTCCTGTGCACTCCACGCATCACCCAGTCCCACTTCCTACTTTGAATGCATTGTGTGCTCAAGTGTGAAAACTGGTTTTTGGTAGTCGAGGTAATCACAAAATGAGCACACTGAGCAGAACTTGTACAGCATGACAAAATCAGTTTCTGACACAACCGCAGGGAGTGAGAAAGCTTCTCATCAGAGCGGCTGGCCCAAAAACACATTATACCTGCCACAGTGGGCAGGAGTCATCATTACTGTGATGAAGCCGAGACAGGGCCGGTGAGACTGGTCTGATCCGATCCAGCTTTAATCAAAGGTGTGAACCACAGCGTCAGATCAGTATTTGATGAGTGAGGGCCATAAATCAAACATTTACCCGGCAGCTTTGATCGCAGAGGGGCCACCGAGGCCGGAGTTGAGGAAAAACACTGCATATGTATATCCTGGAGATGTACCATCTGCTAATCTGTTTTAAATGAAAGTCTTTTTGTTTTTATTTGGTCCTTCTAGGCTTTGGTTAGATACTGCGACAGAACACCCTAATGATCTTTCCTTTTCAATTAAGCAGCTCGGTTTTCGTAACTTTCTCTAACCTTTCGCAAGCACAGTATTCCAGAATTAATTGCAAGTCCAATATGAGAGAGTGACTTTAATCAACAAGCATCCTCAAGGTACTTTCACATGTGAAAGTGAAGAAAACATGAAACGTAACAGCACCATCAGCCTCAAAGAAACAAAGAGCTGAACATACATCAAGGGAACAGGCTCAATCATTTGCAAGACAAATTATGCACCTTTATTACAAAGCAGAAACCAATCAAATCATTTTCTCATGCTATAGCTACTATATGATGTGTTCAAGTTAAAAGGAGTCCATCACGCCATGCATGTTTGTGGCTATTTGTCCCCCAAGGACCTCCTATTAAGTCTCAGAAGTGCCGTCTACAAAAGAAAGCCTCCTAACAAAGCACTCAGAGTCCCTACAGCGCCAGACTGGATGTCCACAGAGACCCTGCTCATATTCACATATATATCGAATTTAGAGACAAAAGGGGGTTGTTTTATTAAAAGTTAAAAGAGACAAGATATGGCATGTTACTTGTGGAGGAGCATTTTTTTTTAGCGCGTGACTTTGGGTCGGGTTTAAATCCTTTCAAGTCTCAGTTGTTGCCATCTCTGTAAAGCAGTTTGATTATTGATACAAGCTGTGCAAGGACGACGTTTTGAACACTAATTTTAGCACTTTTTACTTGCTCAGTAATTGATTTTTCTTCCAAGATCCCAAAAATATTCTGTACTGCAGTTAAAGACATTTTCAAGTTTACTTTATATGATCTGTCATAATTCAGCACTTACGCAAATAGTGCACGTACTCTGCATCTGCTGTGTACAAACATCTGATAAACATCTTTCAGACGTCAGTTTTACATACATTCTAAATCATAAACATCTTAAAGACATCTTCTAAACGACTATTTGACATCTGACAGGAAACGTCCTAGACGTATTGCAGATGAGCAAATACTCGAAAAAAAAAAAAAAAACGCCTGAAAGATGTAAATGCAGACGTCAAATAAACGTCTCAACGTGCTATCAGGATGTGGAGCCTCAGCCACCCACTTTTGAGATCTTGGCAAAGCTCATGAAACTGTTGCTAGGATACAAGAGCGCCATCATCCGTTTAGTCTGTTTCAAAAAATTTTTTAGAAAGGCTTAATTTTATGCATGGATAAATTAACCCAAGTAACTACAACACGCATATAAATATATAATTTATAAAACACAAATTCATAAAAAAAAAAATGAACACGTGAACTCCATATTTGTTTAATTACATGTCTTTATTGTCCAAAGTACCATAAAATGATAACTGTACAACTCGGCACACTTAAGCAGAACCAGGGCACTAAATATCCAAATTGGGTTGCTGGTTGTAGTTGAAGACACATTCAAAAATTTACATATTTACATAGAAAGACTTAAAGTGTGTTGATGCTCTTCGCATAGGAAACTTAAAAAAAAAAAAAAAAAGTTCTTAAGAAACTTTCAAACATAATGCAAGTCCCTGGTACTGGACACATTGAGTGAGGAGAGCAAACAGTGGATCAGAGATGAGAATGGTCAGAAAGGCACTCTGTGATGTCTATGTACAGGCCATCCATCATTCAGTGAGAGCAACTCGGGTCCAGGCTATTCACAGTAGTTAACTCTTTACATCCCAGTTGACAATTACACCATTATTAAAATGAGTCAAAACAAACATGAGAAATGTTCCATCAAGTACCCATATTGTTCAAGTTTATGACAGCTTAAAACAATTCTAACTGAAGTTGGGAACACAGGACAAATCACTGAACAGACATGGACGACAACAGCAACTTAAATCAAACTACACTGGGAATTTAAAATGTAAAAACTCGGGTTGGGGAGATGGGATGCCAGATCAACAGAGAGCATTCTAAAGTTACAGCACCATGTCTAGCTCAGTCTCTCGCCAGGCCTTTCCTAGCGGTTAGTACACTTCTCAGTGTTTCATTACAACACGCAGCCTGAAAACTCAATGAAGGAGCTTCATTTTTGTTGCTGAAACAACGCAAACGGATTTTATTCGACTCCTGTGGTAGATTGTCCTCTTTGGTGTTTCATGATCTCAACAAGGCAGACACATTAGGCTAAAACTACATTTTTAAAACAATTAATTCTCCCCAGGCACCACATTTAGCCGTGTTAAGCTAAAAGGCTACAATTCTCTGTGTGTTTCTTGCTCTGTAAAATACATTAAGGTAAGTGTAAACATGATCAGTATATTGTCCAATGGCACTATATAGATGATGGACCCCAGGAGAACCAGAACGTCGCGTCCTCTTCCACAAGTCTCACATTCCCCTGCTCCTTAACAGGCGTCAGCACTGCTGCAGATCTCACACCTGCAAAGTGACCTTACAGATTCTGGATATAAACTATAGACCTATGAATTGTGCCACTCAAACGTCTTGAGATATTTGTTTGATAAAATCGGCGCACTCATCCTTTGCCCTAACATCATGATGAGGAATTATGCATGTCACGACATCAACGAAAGACTGCAATGTGAAGGCATCGCCGTATAGGACATCCGCTCGAAGCGGTTCTCCTTTGACCAATGCATAATGCAGTGAAAAGTGCTGCGTCGACTGACTCCTCCCTCTCTGATGTGATTAAAAGCACTTGGTAAAGCATGGGTTATGATTTCTTTGTAACCACAGCCTTGTGAAATCTACCACCGTCTTGGGTCAGGTTGATGCTGCAGCTTTGATATGGGTGAACCGATTTCTCTTCTTTTTTTTTTTTTTCTCTTTTTTTTTTTTTTTTTTTTTTTTTTTTTTTTTTTTTTTTTTTTTTTTTTTTTTTTTTTTT